AGCAAAAAGAATACTGACATCGGTTGAGAATTGACCTTCAGCACCCCACAGAGCACGGTAGAATTTTAGTTGAGGTACAGGCATTTTCTTTTCGAGCACTTCATGGCAATGAACTATCCTAGTGTAAAAGATGGTACATGGCAAAATTTACCAATCGGTGAACATGTGCGGAATCTAGAGCTACACTTAAAAGAGTTCATGGCATACAACCCCGTACATGTGAATGTTCAAGGAGGGCAAGATTTATGATTAATTAAGGAGAATGAGGAATTTTTTCAAAAAGCATTGAAAGTACAGGCTAAGTATCCTTAAGTGACATCATCACATGTAAAGGAGTCATCTTCAAGTGAATACTAGTTTTCTGCTATAATTATTTCCTACAGGCAATGGGGAACACCTTGTTTGAGGACTAGGTTATTTGTTTTTCCAAAATATTCAAGTATACGTGGAGAAGAATTGCTCGAGTTCTAATCTCAATCGTTTTTCTCAGAAAGTCTAAAATAATATATGTTCTGATTCTGATTGTTAGTTGAAAAATCGATGCACAAGTTTCAGCAATCGATGCTCGACTATCAAATGCACGTATTTTCAATGTTACTAAACTTTATCAATCGATTCCATTTCCTGAAACGAAAGAAGAACAAATCGAGACCGAAATACACGTGGAGGTTCGTGAAAATCTAGTTTTTTCTAAAAACATCATTTGTATCTGTCGAATTATAATAATCAACAGCATTCGGAGTTACTGTATCTCATAAAGATACGAAAAAACATTGGAAGCAGTAGAAAATATAACACCAGTACAAAAAATCTTGGAAGAAGCGGCCAGTGTCGAAGCGGAAGGAAAAACGAACGATCAAACGTCGGTAGAAATCGTGAAGAAAAAAGTCAATTCACAAGATCAACTCATCGAAGTCAAAGCTACTTTTGAACTTCCACGAGTAAGTCAAAGATTTGTGATGTTGTTTATAACATTTCTAAAAAAACAATCGTCTTCAGATTAATCTACTCATCGAAGAATCTTTAACGAATTTGTCCAATGATACTCAACCATTTGTTCGTATGTCAATCTTCTCAATAGTTGCTCGAGCAACAATTAAAACATACGATATCGATTTCGATATATCTATTGCTGATTTGACCGTTATTCATGAACAATTTATTACTAAAACGAATGCTCGACTTCGTCTCATTGCTGTTGAACATCATCGCGATCGTGTAAATGATCCATTTATTAGTATTCATGGTTTGTTAACATCATCTGTCAATCCATTACTTGCCTCGACTCCTTACAATGGAATTGAAAATCAAGTAAAGGTACATATTGGCAAACCTGTCCTAATGTTACAATTAGAACCACTTCTAACCATTGTTCGATTTAAAAATGATCTTATGGATAAAATATCTAAAGAACAACATCGTATATCGAACAAACGAATGGGAAATAAACGAGTTCCATCGAAAAAACCGAATCCGAAATATGTTGTTAAGAAGGATCCACTATCAGTGATGCCAACATTTCAAATCGATGCTGATCTCGATGGATTACGTGCAATTATTGAATCAGAATTTGCTCAAATACTTGATATTCACATCCAAGATCTTCATGTACATGCATTCAATTCGATCGAAAAAATATTGGTTAATTTGATTGTGTAAGATTTTTATGCTGTCGATCCTAATCCAACAGCACGCCATCGAAAGATTATTTCATAACAAGGTGATGATAAGCAATTATTACGTGTCGATTTTTCTCTATTCAACTATCCGAACAAACACGAGAAAACACTCGATGAAGTCGATTGTGATGTTAAAGTGCAATTGACCAAAGTGAGCATGGTCCTTCTCTACAAACATATGGACCTCATTTTGAGCATGATCAATGTATTTCAAACGAAAAAACCTCAACATGATGTTCCTTCGAATCAGACAAGTACCGTTTCTGATACTATAGAAAAATTCCAAAGACAAGCACGAAAACTTCGTCTCGATGTCACAATCAATGCATCGAGTATATTCGTTCCGACAAGTTCCTATTCGAGCGAAGGACTTTTTCTTGATTTGGGTCAATTGACAATTCAAACGCATTTTATCGATGATCCAAATCGATTATTTGTCGAGCAACAAATAATAACTATCAATAATTTATTTGGACGACGAGTTAAGCTAAATAACAACAATGAAATTCTCGGTGATATCAGTGTACTCGAATGTTCCGAACTTCGTACATTAATTGAACGTCTCTTATATCCGGAAAAGATTCAAAATGAATCACAAATTACAATTCAACTCAATTGGGATACTATTCAATTTATATTAGCAAAAGATGATTATGCATGTATAATGAAAATATTCAAGGATAATTTTTCAGAGAAAATTCATCACAAAATACCAAAACCTGATGTTCAAGAACAACCCAAGTACAGAGAGACGAATCAAGATCAAGTTATTGTGACAAACAATAGACATCTGTTTTGATGCTCTAATCAAGAAAATTGCTTTAACATTGTATCTCGGCGAATCGAACATAATTACAGAACATGTATCACGTAATGAGAATTTGAAATTTGTTGATTTACAATTTGAAATGCTCAAAGCCCACTTTCAACAATTGTGCGATTCGAGTTACAATGGCAGTGTACAAATTCAAGAACTCGTCTTGGACGATCTACGTGAAACAAATCGATCCGATAGTATTACACGTATGATCAATCGAAATTTCAATGTCGATCCGAATATACTAATATTTACTGTTAATATCGAATTCAAACCAAAGAAAGAAGAACGTTCTATGGGTATTCGACAAGGTAGGTGAGAAATACTTGGACAATTCCTGTAATGATGAACATTTATGTTATTAGTCAATGGTCAATTGGAAAGTTTTTATATTTGTATCAGTGCGGATTGTTTGATGGCATTACAAGACTTTTTTGTCTCAAGCTTGTCATCAATCGACGAGATCAAACCGCGTCCATCACTAATATATTCCAAAACATTGTCTGATATTGATCATGATCTTCCATTGCTAGCCAAACTCATATTAGCATATCATCGATCGTCTGAAACAGACAATGAGACATCAGAATCTACGTCATCCTCTCCTCGGAGAACGTCGAATGCTTCCTGTATGTCATATTTTCGTTTGTTTTCTTATCGAAGCTAATTCGTCTATTTTAGCTGCTTCCCAACAATCGTCATCCGCCGAACTGATAGTGATCTTGAGATAATAGTTGATATCGTTATCAAGACTCCCGAAATTATTTTACTCGAAGATCAACATAATGCGAATTCAAGTTATGTTGTACTCGGCGTAAGAGTGGAAAGAAAACTAAATATCTTCAAAAAAAACGAAAGACCATCATGATATTTGTTTAGTTACCTTCACAGATACGTATGGTTATTGTGAGTGATAATACAAAAATGTCTAGCTCATTGAAAAATTTAACTATTTATGGTTCGACTTTTGCTGAATTGAAAAATTCAAAAAATAAATATCGTGTAAGAATAAAGATGATTTCTTTTGTTTTCGATTATTTTCTATTTTTCTACGTATTTAAAAGATTTTGGGACCACTCGATATCGATGCTGTTTTGATCATGAATTTGGAAGAGCAAAAAATCGATGTACGCATTGGAGATATTACTGTACAAATTCCTCCGGCAGCAATTCACACGATTCGTAGTGTTACAAATTCACTAGGCAAACTTCAAGTAATGGAATTTGTATTGTTTCTTCATAAAATATAAATCTTTTTTCATTAGTCGACTGTTCAAAATGAAACGGAGAAAATCAATGATAAATCATATAACATCAATAAAATAATGCTGAAAACCTAATGCACATATTGTAAATATCCAACACTCATCAATCCGTTCAAAGATGCAAGCCTTTGGTTTATCGAAGGTTTGTTCAAAGCTAGTTTTTGTTTTTTAATATATTCGACTCTTTTTTTTCTTGTTTTATAGATAATGAAGAGAAACAAGAAATGTTGGAACAGAAAGATATTTTAGAAGAAATAACTGGTGCTCTTTCACATAAGAAAGCGGCTATTGAAGAAGCAAATAAACAGAAGGAAAAAGACAAGAAAATTCATATGAAAAAAATTCTTACTCAAGAAGTATTAAGAAAAAAACTGACAAAGTTGTGAATGTAATCGAAATTAATATGTTGATCTTTAGCTTATCATCAATTTGAAAATAATCGAAGTTAAACTTGAACTTGGCTCAGGTTCATCGACGAAACCGATAATTGCCATGTGTTTCTCGGATCTATTAGTCGAAGTGAAAAATTGGTCCACTAATGTATGTCTCTTGGAGTTGAGCTGAATACTATCCAATGTTTGGTTTTTTCTTTATTTAGATAAATATTTTTTCGAAGATTTATGTTGAACTAGCTTTATTCAATGATAATTTACTCGCATGGCAACCACTGATTGAACCAGTGATCAATGAAAAGGGTAAAGTTGTCGGTCCATGGTGCATTACATGTTCGACATCAAATGTAAGTTGTCTTCTCATTTTCGTTGTTTACTGAATAACTCGTCTTGAGGTTATTTTTTCTTCTACATATTCTTTGTTTTCTTTTCCTAGGATGAAGACGAAGAAGAAGAGAATGATAAAGAGGTAAATAATAGTATGAAGATATTGCATTTTGATTAAATGAAGTTTCAGTCTTGAGAAAAAAAAAGTTCGTGAAAGAGAAACAATAGCTAAATCATTCTGTTTTGTTGGTGACGGCAGAATATACATATATAGCTGTCACATCGTCCACATCATCATTTACGTGTCATCGACCTCTCAGAATTGTTACCAGAGTTCCCGAAACACGACTTGAGACAACATCGCTTTACTCATGTATTCTATAACGTCATTCTGATAAAGGCTTGTCACTGTAGTTATTTTTGATTTGGTCTCATAATCTCGAAAGAAAAAATATAGAAAAATAGTCAATTCTTTCCTGCTTCTGTCATATCGTCGCGATCGTCAGCTATATACTTGTCTAACATTTTTAAAACTGAAAGAATTTATACAGTACACATAGACTTGTATGACAGCCACGTGTGCGATGACGTTACAAAGCTTTTCTTCTCATTTTAAATGAGACGAAAAGCAGTATCTGTTATATCAGACACTTATTTCTTCGACTTAGGTTATATCTACTCTTTTAAGTTTCTCAAAGCAGACTTAAATCTAAGAACAAAATTAACTAATTTGCAAAGTAAGTACATAGCAGTTCCAGTGAGTGGGAGAATATAAATTCCTAAATATAAATTTTGTTTCTTCAGGCATTTTGTGTAGGTTAAAAAGTTTTCTTTCTCAAAAAATGCACTATATCTAAGGGCTTTTTCTATGTTCTTGCTCTCAATCGATGTTTACTATGCAAATATCCCAAAATAAAAATGCACAGAAGTGAGAAATGCATCAACGGTTGCTGTTTTTATCCCCGGTGTAAGATCACTTTGTTGTTAGTGGCTCTCAGGATGTAGTGACGATCAGTTCAGTTCTGTTTAATGCATAGAGGATTGGGCCTCAGCCATTCCGCCTCATTCACAGAATATTAGATCGGCTCTAATAACGAACTGATCCTAGCGATAATATCTACGGGTATACATTCTCTGAAAGTTCAAGCCGGAATGTTTTCTTTACATGAGATAAGAGCAACAGTTCTGGCTCACTTTATTTGTTTGTAGTGCACTCGCCAAATATCTAGTTCCTTCAATATCAATATTGCTTTCTTGAAGATTCAGCGTCGTGAGTGTCTATGATAGGATGAAGAAGCCGAATGTGTTGGAAGTGAGTGCCGAAATTCTCTATCTCACCATGTTTGTATAAAGTGCACTTGCCAAACGCTTAACTCTTTCAACACCAATATTGCTCTCTCGAAGATTTAATGTAGTGAATGTCTGTATTGGATATAGATGATAAATTTCTTATGAATAACAAAATTAGATATGTCTTTTTATCCATAAGGTGAAGATAGGAAATGTAGATAATTTTGTTAGTGACGAATGTTACTTTAATTTCATGAGAATATGACGCGCGAGTAATCACGAAAAGAAAAGTAAACGTATTTACCTGATATCGGTGATATGTATCTAGAATAACATTGAGCCGTGTGCTAACGTTAAGAACGGGGACTAATAGTGATAGTTCATTAAGTTCGTCCAAAATACGATAGACAAGTTTCACAGGCAACGTTAGAAATGATGCCATTATTATTTTCTTTCGAGCAATGTGGATTGTTAAGAGATCAGCAACTGATATGCGTTTGTATGTTTATCGATGCAGAAAAGATAAAAACACCTGTCACTCCAATCATATAGAAACTGACTATAGTAGAGTCAGACTATAGTAACTGACTGAATAGTAGAGGGCAGTGCACATCGACAAAGGAGAATGATTCAATGCCCGACTATTACACTTACACTTCGCATATGACGTAGCGTCTTAATGATAGAAGTACAATGTCTGTATAACGATAATATTTGTTGGGCTTAATGGAAATCTTATTCGTGATCAATGTTATTATGAAAAATCAAGTATTTAGATGAGCGGTGGAGTGCATGCAATAAACAGAAAAATTTCTTAGGAAAAAAATTGTTTTATTGTCGATAGAAATCCTGAAAATTTGTTTTGCCATGTTGTCGTTACACCGTCATTACTTGGTAACACATGTTTTCTATTTTGTCGATCAATCCAAACTCGAGTTTCGAATGATCTTGGATCTCTGAAGGTTGTATACGACGATGGCAAATGATCTCGTAACCATTGCGCAAGTTCATCATTTGTAGGAAGAAATGAACTATTTTTAAAAAATTGATCATCTTCAGATTTAAATACTAACAATCGAAGATTAGGCATCTTGTAAATGAGATCAAGAGCGCCGTTCCGACTGCTTACATCAATGTAAAGAACTTCACATTGAAATCCAAGAGGTGAATTAATTAAATTCATGCAATCTTCAGCAGAAAATTTATAAGAATAAGCGGATGGATTGAATTTAATATCAAGTCGACGAATCGATTTACTGGTTAACTGGAATAATTGACTATGAAGTCTTTGCCGAGGATCGAGTTTTAACGAATAAAGAAACGGTGCTTGATCGATTAACATTTGTAGTTGAGAATAACTGACATCATTAAAGTAGTCAACATTGAGTGAAGTTAAACGATTTAATGACGGAAAAAGTAATGAAAAACAGTCATCCAATGGAAGACGAATTTCTAGATGGCGAATACTAGGAAAGCGAGGATGACGAAGGATATAGGCATTGAATAAAGTCTTTTCATTGTTGTTACGACTAATCGTTTCTACACTATCATATGACCAATAATTTTCTTCGTTCGGACAAGTTGATTTCGAACAATGTTTATTCGAATAACGATAGTTATGAAATGCATATGGTAATGTATAAACCATAATTGGTTGAAGTGACTCTGAATCGTAGTCACATTGAATAAACCATCGATGCTCTTCAAGCCAGAATGTCGTTCGGTATGTCAAAAGTAGCTCATCAACGTTCTTTGTCATGATATTCATGTGCATTTCCGGTGAAAGATCCATTTTCAATCGAAATATTTTGAGTTTTGGTAAATAATTGGTAATGATTTGTTCCCATTCATATCCATCAAAATACATTCGGCGTGTATCAATTGTTAAATGACGTAGATTAGGCATCGTTTGAAAAATATATTGTAATGAATCAATTAATGTCTCATAGTGGATTTTCAATGATTTCATTGATGGAATAACACAATCCATAGGTACATCCGAATAAGTAGATGAAGCAAATAAAGAGAGACTTTTTAAATGTGGAGTACAATGGAAAAGATGCGATAAAGATGGCATTTCAAAGACACTGTGTTCGAGAGAAATATATTCTATCGATGTTGATATCGATGAAATTTTCGGTATCCATCGTTCACTTCTTTGTATACCATTTAAATTGCAATGAGTTAGTGTTGATATGCTCCAAATATTGTTCAATGATTCAGGAAAAAGATATTCCATATTCCAACTAATATGATATTTGATTATAGTGAGATGAACGAGATGAGGAAGAGAACGACATTGAAATGTTATTTTACTTAATTGATTCAGAGAACGAATATTATAAAGTGAAAGTGATCTTAAATGAGTGAAACGATCAAGCGTGAAACCACGAAAAAAAAGTAGTTCAACTGCGTCTGTTATTTCATTATTCGAAAGATTAAGTGAACAAACTTGATTAATAATATTTGGAAGGCATTGTTCACAAATAAGATCCAAATTTTCTCTTGAGATTGATTGAAAACTTAGTTGATAATCTCTTAGATGAGCGTTGAAAAGATGATTGAATCGATCATTTAGTCCAGAGAAAGCACGAATAAGATGAGTAGTATTCAAGTATTCAAATATTTCCAGTAACAATTCATTAGACAATAATTCGAGTTGTGTCATTTTACTAATAGGAGCAAATAATCTGTTTGGCTTCAAGGTGATGTTATGTCGTATTATGAAGATAAGTTATTGGCCTTCGATAGGCACCAATAGGAATTATACTGATAGAGTGCGCGCATAATCAATGATAAAAAAAATAGGTAGATGCGTGCGTAATCTTTTAGATAATATAAGATTGAAGTATCGAAACAAAAGCAGAAGAACAGAATAGCAAAACTATATGAGAGAAAAGTAAAGCGTATATGTATAAATTAGGAACATACATTCAAAAGAATAGTGACGCTGTCGTCGTTATAGTTAGCTACTGCTAAATCCAATTTATTATCATCATTAAAATCACCTTCTGTGACAGACATTGAGTACGAACCACTCGTATATGCCAATTGATTTTGGAATGTACCATCTGCGTTACCAGATAGGACACTAATACTATTATCAGCAAAGTTGGCTACCACTAAATCTTGTTTCTTATCATTATTGAAATCAGCTGATATAACAGACATGAGAGAAAAACCAGTCAGATATGTAATTTGATTTTCAAAAGTGCCATCTCCTTTGCCAGTTAATACACTAATAGTATTGTTATCATAGTTAGCCACAGCTAGATCTAGTTTGGTATCATTGTTAAAATCATCTATTGTTACAGAATTTGGTGAACTACTAATTGTATATTTCGTTTGATTTTGAAACGTTCCATCTCCATTACCAAGCAATACACTGATGCTCTTATTATATACATTCGTCACCACTAGATCCAGTTTAGCATCATTATTAAAATCACCTTTCGATATCGATACCGAACCAGAACCATATGCTAGCATCGTTCCATTTCGAAACGTTCCAGCTTCATTCCCAAGCAGTACATTGGCAATGCTTTCGAAGAATCTAGTCACTGCAAAGTCTAATTTTGTATCATTGTTAAAAAAAAAATCACCTATTGTCATGGAACATGGATGTGAACCGACGATATATTTCGTTTGATTTCGAAAGGTTCCATTTCCATTTCCCAGAAGCACACTGACGGTACCTTCATCAAAGTTCGTTACTGCAAGATCCAATTTACTATCATTATTGAAGTCACCTAATGTCACAGAAATAGGTCCTGCCTACTACATACTTCGTTTGATTCTGAAATATCCCATCACCATTCCGAGTAGTATACTCACGTTATTGCCATGATAGTTTGCCACGGCAAGATCCAATTTGCTGTCGTTATTGAAATCGCCTGCAGTAACAGAGTCTGATGCCCAACTAGCGCTATACTTCGGTTGAATTGAAAATATCCCATCCCCATTACCAAGTAACATACCGACAGTACTAGCAGCGGAGTTGGTCACTACCAAATCCGATTTATTATCTTCATCAAAATCACCTATTACTATCGAAGATGGATTACGACCAATAGTGTAGTTCACTGGACTTTGAAACGTTCCGTTGCCATTGCCAAGTAACATGCTGACTCTATCCATCACATCGACTACTAATAAATCTAATCTGGAGTCGTCATTGAAATCACCCACTGCCACAAACATCTGAATATCACCAACAACACACTTAATTTTACTTTGAAATGTGCCATTTCCGTAACCAAGGCGCACACTAACATATTGTTCAGCCAAATTAGCCACTGCAAGATCCAATATGGTGAAATTATTAAGAGCCATTTTCTGAGAGAGTCAGGCAGGTAACCGCCGTGACGATCTCCGATTAACTTGAAATTTTTACCAGATGTAGACCTATATGAAACTAGAAGAAGATAAAGATAAAACCTTTTAAGAATGTTTCCCTCTTGAGATACAAATGTCACTTGTTTCTATGAGTTTTCACTGAAAGATTCACTAGAATTGAGATATCTCCAAAACGGCGTGATATTTCTTGATGAAATTTTCAACATAGATGTACCTTTCGATGATGTAGTTATTCTAAAAGTTTCCGCAAAATAAATGCAACTGTTCGGACAAAAATTGAATTTTACTAGCAAAACTTGTGAGCCATCTTACGCCCTTCGCGCTCCTGAGTCTCACTTAAAATTTTCAGAATATATAGGGTAAGGTAAGGTAGAAACCATTATCAAAGTTTGGGGCAAAAATCATTCTGTGATTTAATAGTCAAACTTTTGTAAAATCATTTTCTTCTGCTAAAACTGTGCTTTTTCTGTCTAAAAAATATTTTTATATCAAACAACGATCTCTGACGTGAGTATATCGATTAGTAGGGCTATGCTGAGGCTCTCTTACCCTTAACCCTAGTGGTACCAAGTGGGTCAAAAATGACCCATGTGACTATTTTTTGAATAACTCAGCATCAAATAAAGAGAGAGACTTTTGGTTTTCACCATTCGATAGCCACGACTTGAGGCTATCTTTTCACAAGCAAAAATCAATTTTGAAAGATCTTTGAAGTCGGTTTTCTAAAGGATCTTCGGAAAATCAGTTAGTACCTCAAAAGTTTTACATGGGAATCTATTGGTTTTTTTATCGGTAGGTAGTCCAAAGTGTTCTGTAGAAGATGAGATCTAAGCAAAAGTTTCACTTTGCTGCATTCGGTAACCACAAGCGTTTATCCCGAAGCCCTCAGACTTGTGTATTCTTGTGTCTGAGATCTTCAGCCCTGAGACTTGTGTATTCTTTCAAAACCAAACTATTTTCTGTTGCTTTTCACAACATTTATTGAGCTTTATGGTGTGCAGCAGATAATACAGAGTATATGTTGATATTTTGAGGTAGCTCTGATGGATTTCGAATGAGTAATGAATTTTTTCGTTTTTGATGAA